GAAATATATATGATCTAATACTCATGTCTACTGTCCCTTGCCGCTGTGAAAAAATCAAACTTCTAAGCCAAAGCAATCAAAAGATACAGCCGTTTATGCCGCAAATTTCTGCAAATTTTCGAAACTCGCACGGGAATCAAAACCTGCAGAGTACTACCCGTGAACTTAGAATCTTGAAATTTGGTACGAAATAATGTCTTATAGTACAGATAAAGGAAAAATTGCGAAAATCATAAATTTTTAGTTACATCATATAATAAAATATATTTTTGTAAGTTTTAAAGTTACTACCTCTTTTCTCATGAACGCGTAGAGGTATTAAATTGAGTTTGTACGGAACCCTCGGTGCGCGAGTCCGACTCGCACTTGACCGGTTTTTTTACCTATTTCATATTTACTTAATATGAAGGTTATTGCATGCACTTTCAGTAATTTTATTTTCTTGATACCCGATCTTGTGGTATAGCTGTATTGTAGAATTTAGTATAATTGTACTAAAATTTTAATCATTAAGTAATTGTTTAAATTTCCACTTTAGATATACTGATTTTTTAACAATAAAGAGATGTATTTATTACTATTTATTACTGTTGGTTTGGTGTTTTAACGTATGAATTCTATTATGATCAGTAAAAAAAAATCCAATATTATGGAGTGTTAGTAATTTTTTTTAATGCAATTGGGGGACTGTAAACTAGTTTAGCTCAGAATGAATATAAATATATAATATATATATGTATATATATATGTGTGTGTAAAATGTGCGTGCGCACTGGTTTTTCTTGCTTATATCCCCTACTCAACTCCCGTTCGCCTCGCTCGAACTCACTTTTCGTAACGCGTAACGTATTCACCAGCTTACCCCCCAAGTCAAACGTGCGTCAAGAAGTTTTACTTCAATAACGTCTAGAAGCCGTGTTTTAACCAAAACAAGAGCTGTAATGTGTGCCGAATTCATTTTCTTGTGTGCGTAAGTTGACTGTATCTACGCATACAAAATACTTTTTTTTAATTATTCATGACCATGGATACAAGTCCTTTAGTCGTATACATAAATACAACTATTAATCTTATTTTTTACATTAGAATGTCGGTATGACGCATACTAATGTTTCTTGGAGTGTTTGGCACAAAATGTATCGAGTTAGTTTTTTCGATAAGCTTCTGTGAGATAGTCAACACTACAATAAAGTTCTCACGTCCACTTGACCGGACTAGCGTATATTTAAAAGATTCCACTAATTCTTCAGTTGCGCAGACGGTTGTAACACAAAATCACACCAATTTTATTTCACAATATCCACTATGAACGAATTTAAGAATAATTGAAATAAGACGCCAACCGCACTCGATGAAATCCCGCCGAAAACTCCAACAAAATACCTACATTATTTCAGTGTTACAATTACCAGTCGCAAACCCAAAAAATGGGAAAACGTGCGGCTTTGTTCTGTAATGAATATAAATTAGGTTCATGTTTTTTTATTATATTTTACAACGGGAGTAAAATTTCAAGGATAAAAATTCAAATTTTTTACCATTAATTTGTATTATTAAAATTTAAAGAAAGGATTAGCTTAATAAATGTGTCCATGACCAATAATCAAATTTGAATGTTGCGCGGACGCTGGCATGACAACGGCGCTCGAAAGACGCCAGTCTCTTATAAAGGTCTCTTATAAAGATGAAGTTATTCACAAGACTAAAATGTTCAATGTACATTCTAAGTTTTAGAATATTTAGGTAATTTTACATACTAAGAATAAATTAATGGACATGTTTACCAGCCCAATATTAACTTTCGCTTCTCGTTTTTGGAGCGAGTTTGATTTACAAGTTTTATTGCTTTCGTTTATGCCGGCTTCAGGGGAAAACAGGCCTAAACCTCGATGTAATTACGTTCTACAATAGCTATTATCAGATCTGCTCAGTGGTGCGATGGGGACGGGACTACCGAAGCCGATACGGGTTGTTTCTCAGGAAATGGAATGTCCTTGTGAATTCTAAAAATGGACCGGAAGGAGGTGTCATTCACATACGCTACATTATTATTGAACACTGTGGATTGATTCCTTTTTATGGTAAAATGGTGGCAAATAAGCATATGGATCGCCTGATGGTTAGCGGTCACCAGTCTATAGACCCTTGCGATACCGAAGCTATCACTCGCACCATCCGTCCGACTTTATCCGGATCTTTAAATTGACCGGATTTTTTTAATTACATTGCATATGAATAATAAAAGTACACATTAATTTAAATACCATTGTAACTAAGTGAGTAATGGTACCATTTTGTGTCTAAAAAGTCCGGACTTTTTTCGAAATGTCAGGATTTTGTCAGGACGTTTGAAATTCCTAAATGGTAACCCTACTCGCACCATTCCGTACCCGTTTTTGTCTGGGAAATGCCTTACGCATCCTTCAACCACCGGGGGAGTGAGAGAAAGGTATGTGGGACTCCTCCCTGCTCGTTTCAGCCAGCCCTTGGGCCGGATAAAATGAGTCGCCCTAACGCCCTGAACAGGGACACTAAAAACCAGACAATACTACTGCACCGTTCAGCCGGCGTACATTCTGAGGACAGGCAGTCCCCCCATGCACGCCGGGAGTGCGGGTGTGGTCTCGCACCATTCCCTACCCTACCACATAGAGCCTTGGAACCTAACTCAGGTTGTTTCTCAGAAATGGAATGTCCTTGTGAATTCTAAAAATAGATCCGAGAGAGGTTTTATTTGCAGCTCAATCTTGTTATTGAACGTACATAGAATGCTAATTCAACAATAATGTGTTTAACTGTAATTTTCCATAGAATTAAACTGCAGACTTGCATTAACGCAGCCCTCGCATTATTTCATGAATTCCCAGAGTCAGTTAGACTTCGGCAACGAGAAAGAACGGTCCATCCGGGTAGCTCAAGGCTTGGTGAGTATTAATTTCCATTAAATTCGTATCCGGGAATATTGGGTTTCTTTTTAAAGGCAAATAGCGCCGGCCTCCTAACAGTACCGTGGATTGATTTCTTTTTATGTTATAAGGGTGCAAAATAAGCATATGACCCGCCTGATGGTAAGTTGTCACCATAGCCTATATATGATTGAGATATTGAAGCTTTCCCTATTCTACCCCACAGAGCCCTTACTCGCCGACAAAAATACAACACTACGAAAAGGTAGTGTTATTTTAACATGTTCATCTGTAAGGTGGAGGTTACTTCCCCGCACGGACGCTTCATTTCTGAGAAAAAATATTATTGATGATTGAAGATGATTAAATTGATATTACGTACCTCTCTTTATTTAAAAGGATTAAAATGTAATGAGTGAAATAAAAAAAGAGAAATCTGGTCAAGGTTTTCCTCCTTACTATAGATTTATAAACTGAATAAATATACATCTGGATTCGAGTGAAATAGCTTATATTATTATAGCTATTACTAGCTGTCCCAGCGAACTTTGTATCGCCATAAAAAATAGGGGTTGGTGGTAGAAGGGTGAAAATTTAGGGTTGTATGTATTTTTGTATGATGTATCATAAAAATAAAAACAAATAAAGAATCTCCAAAAAAATTTTAAGGGTGGACCATCCTTAACATTTAGGTGGAAGAAAAATAGATGTTGTCCGAGTCTCAGACCTACTGAATATGCATATAAAATTTCACGAAAGTCGGTCGAGCCGTTTCGGAGTAATTCTATTACGCACACCATGACACGACAATTTTATATATTAGATTATATTTATTAGAAACATTTTGATGACGTGGGCTATAATATAATTCATTTATTCAATAATATATTTTTAAACGCTATTCAATTGAAGAGCGTATACCGCATATACCCAATACTTCGGGTGAAAAACAAAAAAAAAAACAATTTCACGCAGTAAATCACGTACTTATTATTCGCTTTTCATTTCGACAGTCGTTAAAATACGGACGTTAATAATTTGTAGGCACATATTTCATATTCAAAACATAAAGCCCATTGATTTCATGTATTAATAGCTCCTCTCAAAGGGTGACAACGGAACCACAAAAAATATAGTACAGAAAGTAATGTACATACAAAGTGCGCTTGAACAACACACACATAGACACCGCTCACGGACACGATATCTCGGACCGCTCGGGACCAGTGCAAGCGCGAGTTCCATCCCCTTGAGGTACGCGTCTTTGAACACCCCCCACGACAACGGCTAATGAGAGCCGAGGTCTGAGTCTCAGTGACGCCCTCTAGTTGAGCCGACCCCCTCAGGTTCGAGTGGTCTAGAGGCTCCAAACGGAGAGGAAACTCCCCCCGTGGGGAGACGCCATCCGCCCGGAATACCTCTAGAGGCACTCGCCAATTGTCCGCTTGAGGTCCCCTTAGGATCTCGCCGTCCCCAAACCCGGTGACACTGTAAAGGTCATCTGCGACCAACAGCATACACACTCAAAAAAAAGACTGAACTTTTTTATACAAAAATGGAGTAACAAAATAAAGTTATAAAAACCGTTCAGTCGACACGGTTGTTTGAATTCAACATTAAATGGTGAATTCTCAGTTTTTTATTTGTATCTAATATATGTAACTACATTAGTAATTACAATAATTACATTAAAATTTCAATGCTTTCCTATTTCCATTCCGTTTCATTCCCAATAATAAATCAAATAAGCATGAGTACCTACCTCGATTTTTTTGTGCACAAGTCAAACTTGACAATCCTAGCGCGACCGCCGAGCGTAGGTATAAAAAGTTAAATGTATGTACTTAACTTTAAATTAAATTACATTCTGTACTCTCTTTTTGGTGATGGACCTCTTTTACTAAGCTTCAGCTGTTTGCCATATGTATATGATTTTTTTAACCTCAATTAGTTTGACCAATAGCTAGCAATACTTTTCGTTAGAGGATTTTGCTGCCAACAAAATAAAAGCACTGCGTATTTATTTAACAAATGACCAAGTTGAGAAGTACAACAATAAAGTTCTTGAATTTTACGAACGAAAAAAGTACTCGAATGAACTACATAAAGGCTCAAGACCAACTTGTTAACGCGACCCGAAACCTTGGAAATACTTCATTGGAGTCCATTATTCCCAGCGATATAAATAAAACGGGTGGAATACCGAGTAAATTAAGAATTTTCAAAGTGGCTAAAATCATGTTGCGATCCAATATAGACGTGGAGAAGGGGCTAGTGAATGGGAGTATCGGATTCATCTCGGACATCGTCTGGCTGCACTTAAGACGCGACCAAATGTATGAAATCGACATACCGTCCATCATAGTTAATTGCGGGAACGACGGTGATCATCTAATTCAGCCTATAGGCATCCAGTTCCCCGCCAAGTTTAACTACGGTACGGTGGAAAGGCGCATGCTCTTAGTGATTTTAAGTTGGGCATCTACCGTGCACAAGATGCAAGGCTGTACGGTAGACCAGTGGTGTACCGTACTTTTGCGGCTGGCCAGCCGTATGTGGCCCTAAGTAGAGTAAAATCACTTAGTGGTCACCAGATTAAAGACCTAGATTGTTCTAAGATGACAGGTAAAACACCATGCAATACAAACGCACTGGCGGAGATGGAGAGGATTCATTCGTCTACTGAAATTAAATGTATAAATGTTAAAAATATGTCATTAGCAAAGACTAAAAGTATAAAATAATTTATTAGTTTAAAAAAAAAAACACGCTTTTATAAATGCATGTAAAAACCAAAAATAAATTATGGATCGTTCAAGTTGTCTCTATTTCTGGGCTGAATTTTAAACATGTGCTTTTAATTATAATATTTAGTTGTAAAAGAGTGGGGCACTGAAACAGAAAATATTTTTTGTATAACTTGCTGAGAAACTTGATGAGATTTGCTTCCGCCTTCATTATGCGAACGGCTAGGGAGTGGAACTCCTTTCCGAGGTCTGTTTTTCCGGACCAATATAATCTGGACATCTTCAAGGCCAGAGTGAACAGGATCTTCTGGGCAGGCGTGTACCATCTTAGGCCTCATCATCGTTTTCCATCAGGCGAGATTTTGGTCAAACGCATTGCCTATTATTCAAAAACAAAAACACTTATGTTTGAGCTATGGTGTTTCAAAAAATAGTTAGTTCGCTCAATCGTTCATCGATAAGAATTGCGGTCTTTAAATATTTTAACTCTTTGAACCTTATTTACGATGAAACCAATACAAAGGCAAATTTGTATTCGTCCGATGGTTAGGAAGGTTTTCGAATCTGTGTAGAGTTTTACAGCAGTGCTCGCATTTGATGATTGACCTTACGGTTACAACGTGTTAGTCATCTCCGGTCGACGCCGACTTCCGGATCTTAGCTTTGAAGACAGCATCCCATCTAATATTGATAGTCAATATTGGGTATTGAATAAATAACACAGATAGGGCATAGCGGATTTGCCGCTCGAATTGATGCGCCCGTCTGGGGAATTCACCTCCACTCCTTACAGAAAATCACAGTGAAATAATATTACATTTTGGTGGTGTTGTGTTTCTGTCGTTGTGAAGGTTCCAGGGCTCAACGGAGTAGGGCATTGGGGCAACGGCACGAGTGATATTTTTGGTATCGCAGGCGTCTATAGGCCATTTTGGGTGGTTGCTTACCATCAGTCGGGCTATAAAAGCTATGATATAAGCTTGTGGCTACCCTTTTAACATAAAAAACAATAATATTGCTTTTTCTGTATCTTCCATTTTATCATAGAATTTAAAGCCAACGCAGCTTATTGGCTTTGTTGTTGCATTTGTTAATGCATGTTCCCATATTTACAGAAAACTAGCGAACGCCCACGACTGCATCCGCTTTAACTTTGTTTTTTTGAGAACCCCACAGGAATTTCCGATCCAATATTATTTAAGCAAAGACTTGAAAAATATTAACAACACGGATATGGTAGTTTTACAGTAGTTAGGGTCAAATAAATAAACTCAAAATTACAAAAAAGAATTTTAAATACAGTACTTTATTAACTAATATATTCATACATAGGCAATAAAATTAAAAATCTAACATGAAATAACCGAACGCTCAATAAAAGTCTTTCGAAGGTAGCTCGACAAAATTAAATAAAAAATCATTATTCTGACGAAGCAGACCTGAAAAGGCTGCGAAACGTCAATAAATAAATAAAGTTTCGTGCATTAACCCGTTAAAACTAGTTTTATTTAACAGGGATATGTTGCACGGTTGACATGCACAGCGTCAATACTTCCAAATCACAGGTTCGATTTGCCGGTTCGTTTAATTAATATTTGTTACTATGACAGTTAGTCACATCTGTTCTATGAGTCAGACTACCAGATAACAGAGTCGCCCAAGAACAATTACACGCCAAACCGACCACTACATTACTACGCTGGCTTCGAGCCAAGACGAGACGACATTTCTTTATTAGGTATTTCAGTTCATTTTCTTGGGGCTGGCATGAATTTATGTCTGAATATAGTAACTTAATTATTTTAGGCATTTTTTGGTACAGGCTATAAGTAAAAACTGGCTGGTGTAGATATTAGAAAACTGTGAAACGTATGGAAGCTTTAATTGTTGAGCTGCTTATTACTATTTATTTTTGAGTAACGGATTGTGGTTAATTCAATTCAATTCAATTTATTGCACTCATGTGGTTACATAGATGGTTACAAGTTACAAAATGCATAAAGTACCTAACATGAACCCTGTCAGGGTATCGCAATATAGATAAAAATTACAAAAGAGAATTTAATAAATAAACAATTATCTATATGAAGAACCTAATTTGTAATAAACAACTTTATTTCTCAAAGCATGCATAAATGTCATCTGATTTGATTCATTTTATAACTTACTCAATTAATCTTATTTACAGTAGTAGCTGAATTTTGTAATTATTGTTATGGAAATTCGTTTATAAAATTAAATTTGTCAATAATTAAAATTAATAATAATGTCAATAAAAATAAAATAATATGTCAATAAACATGATTATAATAATCTATGTTTGTATTTTAAATATCGCTGTGCGTGCACTAATCAATGATCGCTCGATCATTGATTAGTGCACGGGAACAAAAAGAAGGGGCGACTAGGTCAGGGCATGGGTCATGCAAAAGGAAAAGTAAGGATATTATTGGACGTGCTTACCTATGCAGATATTTTTGTATTACTTAGGGTCGCCGTACACGGGCCACAAGCGACAGCCACAAACTTCGCCACGAGAAGCTAGAAGCGGCTACAAAGATAGCTGAAGCACACAAAAGCCACTTGCCATCGGTGGCTACTACTTTTTTTTAACAAATGCGTGCAGTATCCAAATGGACTCTGTCGAAAAAGGTTTGAAGGTAGGGAATCGCGCGAGTGGCTTGTGGCGCCGTTTTGTATCGGCGCATTAGTGACCGGTGCGGACCACAAGAAACGAGCAATGACGAATTGTAGCGTGTGGCGACCACCGGTGTGGACTCGCCACACACGGTTAGTGTGGCGAGTCCATATAAAATGTATGAAAATTACAGGAAATATGCCGGTGGCGGTTTTTTGTGGTTGTGGCCGGTGGCCCGGGTGCGGCGACCCTTAGACTGTAAAAAAAAAACGAAAACGTCGACAGAGTAACTTATGTGTGTACACGTGTATACGTAAGCAGGAACTGCCAATTTATTTATTTTGTTGTCCCATTATAAGTATTTTGCGCAGTATACCATCTTTTATGTACAGTTAACTTCTCAAGAGATGCTTAATACTTTGTACATTTATAAAATATTTATCTTGCTCAGTCGTACAAAAATAGAGTGTTGTGATATTATCATTATTGATTTTCAATCTCCAGATAAAGCCTTATAAAGTATAACCCACAAATGTTTTGTCTTTATTCTTAATTTTGATATTGCGGCTAGCCTTCCTTTTTAAACGACTGTGCAATGCAAGAGCGTGAAGCGCAGCGCGCAGACAGGGTATAGTGTTTAACAGTCTATATACATATGTATCTTTGTTCCTTTGTGGCACACGTGACCAAAACAACTGACGGGAATTATTGCTTTCGTTAACCTGCGTCATTGATTGGTATTGTTTAAAGGGTGATTAACAACGTTTGGAGTTAACCTCTAGCATCTACATATTTGGTACTGTGTATGTGTATTAAGTAGGTAACAAAGTGAGACTAAGGATATGACACTGCATTTGTGTATATCACAATCTTAAAGCCGGGCATAGGCAACGCGGCCACTGCCAATTTTAGATAGTCGACGACTAAAGTAAATGAATTTTATATTTACTCCTAAATTACTAACAAGATTGTATAATAAGCAAAGGATGACTTTTTGAATAATTACTAATTAACTATAAATTTACCTACATGCATTATATGTTATTATATATAGGTAACGACTGGATTTAACTTCATACATTTTTGCCAAAATTGAGGTACATCTGTAGGGTTAACCCTGGTGGTAAGGTTTCTATATGTTTTAATTAATCAATCGTTGAGACCACCGCAAGGTACATAATAATCTCCGCAATATTAACTTCCTGAAGTGACAAGACTGTGGTATATACAGTCTTATAATCCTCAACAAAAGTGAAAAAATCAAAAAGGTAAAATAAAAAAAGAAAGTCTATAAATCTGTTAAGTAAGAAACATAGCTCCTTTAATAGTCGGGACCCATTATGGACAAAATTTGATCCATTCTTGAATAATATGAAATAGCTTTGTTCCTTGCTAAACAGAATTATAGACTCAGTAGTCTATACTGAAAAGAAAAGTGACTCTTCTGTTCTTTTCTTTTTAGGTTTCATTTAAAGTCATATTTAAGCAGTCGGGTTTTCATTTTTTAAATTTCCCTTTTTTGATTGAGTTTTTATTTAATCCACAGATCAGTCTCATGTATAAGCCGCGGCACGAAACTCTAGCGCTTACCGTTATTGCGCAGAAATAACAATTAAGATGTCTTGGGGGTTGCGCGGGTGGGCGTGCGTTGCGCCGATTGGCTCTTCAGTTGTACCCATGCACAGGTATCCCCTCTGCGTTTGGTTCGACGCTAGAGTAACGTGCCGCGACCTGTTATCATAGAAAAATCTTTGTTTCGTGACTTTAATTTTTTTAGACTACAATACTTGATTTGGTCTAACAAACGTCATTGGTACCTATTGCTCCAAGTCTATGGGCGTATGCTAAGGGTTTTTGGCGGTGTAGGTAATTCATATTTACTTTCGTCTGCCTTGTCTGCCTTGCTTGCAGCTTCGCATAGTAAATACGTACGAACGTACGAGTGCCCTCGGAGCGGGCCGGAATACGGGATGACTTAGACCTAGTTCAGACATGATGGAATCTATGTGTACGTAAATCGCGTGGGTCCAATCCGCGAGGATTGGCAGTATTCAGAGTTGCACGGTGAGTGTGTAGAATAAGGCACGGTGACAGCCACTTTGATGCTATAATGGAATCCGAAGAAGTAATATCTGTGCTTATTTCTCCGAAAAAACATAGAAAACGGCAGTACTTGGTAT